AAGAAGTTGACGATTATGTCAAATACACATCTACTATATAAATTATTTAAGAAGAAATAATACGATCGAAAACAAACAAATGTATTTAGTTTTATCCCCTTATTACTTACTCGAAAAAATATATATATATATTTATTTATGTACTTATTATAGCATCGTTTTATTAATAAATTATATTTATAATATATATTTATATATTATTGTTATGACTGTAAAATGTTTAATAATTTATAATACAAATATAAATTATATCGTTTTTTAATATTTAATATTATGTAGCTCAAGTATACTTATAATACATGACGATGTAATGTAAGACATTGAAAGATACGTAGTATGCTTAGTGAAGTTGTACGTGATAATAGAAATAAGAATGGTTGCCGTTGCCACCACTGTCACCGATGATCTTTTCACCGGCCTACACTACGCGCACGCGCTATACAACACAGCACGAGTTAAATTAATAATTTTAGCACCATTACCCATAGCCCTTTGTGTTACTATGGTCTCTAATGCGCAACATATTTTGTAGTTACCAACACATTCGTGGTATACGCTTGGTTGTAACCACTCCAATACACTTTCGATCCCCGATTCAACAACAACGTGAAATCCGAGTCCGGTGCATGTGCGTCTGGTTCTGCCTCAACGCGCTCGATCCACAATACTCCATTACCTAGCGTGTAAAGGAACTATAATAATATAGGATCTCCATCGAAATATCTCTTATTTAGGTAAATGAATATAATAAATAATATTTTTATTAAAAACAAAATCTATAATATATGCTTTTAAGGAATTAAATGTTAAAAATATTATATCTTTAAAATATTGTCCTTAAGTTGGTGTCCACTTGGTTGCATATTATAATATTTCACATGCTTCGACTAAACCGTGAAAAGCCAATATTATATTGGCCGCGTAAATAATAATGCAAAACTGTGAGATTGACAGTAAAATTTGTGCGAACCAATGGCCGTTGAAGTCTTATAACGAATGGAAAAATTACACGAATAGGAATAGTTTATAAGAACTTATTATGAATAGTCCATAGTTTTGGCAAAACGTAATTTTATTATGTATACCAGAATGCTGAATTTCACAGAACACAGACAATATACAAATACAGTACGCAATGGTCGAACTATACGTATTTAAGTGACGAGCGCATATAAGGACTATAATTCCGATTAGATTTGCGATTAGTTTGCCATATTGGCCGTCAGAGACGTCGAGTTATTTGACTTTTCGCGTTGTTTCTGTATACACATTAACACACGCCGCTTTATACTCGTAAATATAGTAGTCGACCTACTATTGGATCACCGGTTAGAAACGAAACGGACGCAATCCCGGATAAATTTTGAAACAGTCGTATAATGTTTAAGTAAATATAAAATGAACCACAATTATACGCCATGTGGATTACCATTTGGAAATTTGGAGTTTTGCTAGATTAAAGTTTCTAGACTACTCAGTTCACTTGTCTGTAGAACATCAAAGAAAACGCGTGTACATGTAATACACTCATACACATACACATATATATATATATATAAATCGGGACATGTGAATCCCCTTCATCTACGAGCTAATAGGGTTCGGTGAAAACCTAATAACGAATCTACTGAAGTACATTACGCGTTTTACGTATATTACTAACAATAACTTCTGTAAAATTCGTTTAAAGTCAACTACGATTATGATACGTATTACTAGTACAACGTAAACAGCATTACTGTTGATTTCAAAATAAAAATAATAGTTCTACGTCTGGCTAAATAATAAGAAATTTAAAATTTAATTTTTCGTGATAATCTTGCTTCCATCATTCTCTTGGAACATCATTAGATCCACACATATTATATTTGACTCAAAAACACTTGAGAATTTGTTTACATAGTTTTATTTTTAGCACAAAGGGAGCTGATAAACTTCATAATAACAATGTTATTGCGTTTTACACCCACATGGGTGATATTTATTAACCATTGAACAATGTAAATGTATGTGTTAAGAAAATAAAAATTATTCATAATACTTGAAGTTACTTTCAAATATTTCTGAATTTTGTCTCATAATAACTTTTAGAAACTTTCTTATCGAAAACGAAACTGTTTTATTTTTATTTTTTGACAGTTTATATTTCGATTGATTTCATGTTATGATAAAAAAAAATATATACATATATAAATGTATTCTTAAACATAATGTAAAAATATCTAAATCGAATCAAACTGGAGCTGTTTTAATTTATGTACGGTTAATTTAAATCTATCAAATTATGATTGTTATGAAAATTGATTAATTAATGAGATCAAGTACATATTATTGAAATCGTTTGAAATTACACGAGATTGGGCTTTTCAATATTGCAATCTCTCGTCCCTGTGTCGAGTACCAAATTACAAGCCACCGGTAACTCTCATTTCTTGGCTGTCAAAACATGACCAAACTACCGTTGCCACCAACTACAATGATTATGCGTCACGCTTGCATATATACATAATATAGTCATTGTTATATCCGACCCTCTAAGTGAGTTTGGAAACACGCAAACCACGTGTTTGCTTATCAGTTGTGCTTTTACAGTCTAGAAAATCAGGTCACGTCGTAATATACATAGATATAATATATACGAGTATACACTGGAAATAGTTAAAATCTAACGAATTATCGTTTTTATCGAATATCTACCAATTCACGCTGATATCCTATTTATTCACTCGTTTCCAAGTATTGTTCTCTACAAGGGAGCTGATCATAGTTGTGTTGTTCGTGAATAAAAACAACACATCATAAACAAATAAATACTACTGATACGACATGCTTACGTCACTTTTTTGTGAAATATTTCAATCAGTATTTGTTTTTAATTTCAACAACTACAACATATAATTACTGTACGTAAGTACCCAGTGCAATAAGGCACGATTGTGTAAATAAAAAGATTAGTTAGCTTATAGCAAACGGTACAGTATAGAAGAAGTACAAGTATAAAAGAAGGATGTATCGTTTTTTTAGTCCGTATATAGATGTTTACTTATACGAGTGTATACTCTTAAACATTTACGCAGACTGGCTGATATTTTAAGCGTAGGTTTTACGAATGATACGTTCACTCAAATATACTTTGTTTATTTAATATTTATATTATTTTAAACATATATACACAGTTGTTTAATATAATATTATATTGATCTCGATCGCTTCACGTTACAGCTATTCCTGTGCTCCATGGTCCTCTAGGATTGGTTTTCTATTGTTTTTCTGGATATACACACACATTATATTATTGAAGCGTACGGAATAATTAGTTATCGAAAAAATATATTTTTTTTCGTGAACTCTAAGGTCCGGAGTTTCAGGATTATTTTTACACGGGTCCTTGCACAACAATATTTTAAGAACTACTGTTATGTAGTATGCGGTCCCCTGAATATGCGTCGATGGTAGATTAACCGTAATAATAACACGAACGCATCATGCACGTTGGTTTACTGTGGTTTACGGTATATATTATGTTGTTTTTGATTTTTTCATTCTTCAAATATGCACTGCAAATTTACCGCACGTTCCGATCTACCTTTCACGTTTACTCGTTTTATCAGTGTTAAACACTCTTGTACGCACCACATTGCCCAGTTGGCTGTTCAATAAATACGCGGTTGCGGTGGACGAATAGACACCGGAGCGCGCCCGTTTTCACAAAAAACATACAACCCCTTATGCATACATAGATGCGCATGCGAGCGCGCGTGCGTTTGCGTGTATCCGAAGCGTAAAATCTCCCGTTTCGGTGCAAATAACCCCGAAAAGGTCTACGGCCAACAGATTATTAGATTTCAACAGTGACGGTATTTGAACAATCCATAAAATATTGTACGATATTATACGTACCGCGATTTTGCGCAGTCGGTTGGCGAGCGCATGGTATGTACACGTATACAATACGTGTATAAACGCAGGGTAAATGATAAAATATTTTAGAGAAATTAAACGCCGAAAATCGCGGTCGTAGGGTCGAAAACAGCAGTGCGGGTACCTACGTAATGTGGGTCATAATTGTTTACATTTATTTTGTTGTTTATCCGTACACATGATACGGTTACAAGCCAATTTGTTTACTATTTCAACAATCCCAAATGTTAATGTTCTACATTTTTGGGTGCAAATTTTTATGAAAATTAATTTATAATGCGAATAAACGTTTGAATTAAAAATGTAAAATGTATTCAAAAATATATGTATTTAAATGTATTTAAATTGCTTCATGTATGTAGGCCAGGGATATTTTATAAGGCATATGCTTTAGTTATAATCAGTGTTTCTGATGCTTATCGATTAAAAAAAGTAATATTAAAATGCAAATTTAGTATTCATGTTTTTTCTCATGCTATAATTTGTGGTTATTTTTTCAAATTTTCAAAACTATTTATCATTAGTATACATATATCATAATTTTTAATCCGCATCTTAAAATGATTTAAAAAAATATTTCAAGGTATACGCATGATCGGATACTCTCAACTACACAAATAAAAATGATCAAAAATATTATACGAGTATTAAAATAATATTAAAAGTATATACATGAAAATTAACTGTTACCTGGATGTTTTATAACTATAGTATTATTAAAAATTATGTTTAATCAGAACCGACTTCTTAGTTAATTCGATATTATGGTGTACACACTCCGATAACGCTTATTAATACTTGGAAAGATTCAGCGATGTAAAGCTTCGATACGAATACACAATACGTACATATTTTTAACAGTTTTCAGTCTACGATATTATTTTTAATGAATGTAATGATATATGGATATCGTTTTTCTATCTCGGTATACCGTTAAAGTATCGATAAATATCGTAACACCTCTTAGTCGTCCACGTACCTCCCGTACAATCGATTCTAAAACGATATTAATTAATTTATCGTAATATTGATCATCGCAGTCAGCCGTTAATCGTTTTTTCGTTTCTTTCACGTTTCAGGACGCGTGTTCCGCACCCGCACTCGCCACGAGTCCATGTCCACCGCCGCGGCCATCGTCGACGCCGCTGAAACAGCCGTCGCCGCCACCACCGCCGCCGCCGCCGTCACAACAGTAACGGTCGACGACAGCCGGCGCGGACGGCGCGAACTGGTGAACGATCGTCGCTCGACTCATCACGGCGGTCGCCCGTCGACCACGACTCGACCAAAGGTCGCGGGGGACAGATGAAACCGTCTTCGGTGCCTCCGTCATCAACGCCGTTGACCGGTGCGGTCGTTGACCACCACTACCACCAGTTGCAGCAACACCGTCACCAATACCGTCACCAAAACCACCACCACGACCATCACCAAGACCATCATCACCATCATTATACGTCGTCCTAGTTCACCGAAAGCGTGGGCCCCACCCGATGAACAGCCGCGCGGCGACCACCGCAACCGTCGACAACACCAACAGCACCGGCGGCCTTGCTGACGATTTTTCTCGAACCGATAGCCGTCGATTATGAAGAAACATAAACGCGAGCACTTGGATTGCGGCTGACGATAACTATTGCAGTCTCGGGGGACACGCGCACTTGCTAAACACACACACACACACACACACACACACACACACACACACACACACAAACATACACACACACACACACACACACACACACACACCCTCTCACATACATATACCCACACACCATTTATATAGATCGGTTACACACACACACACACACACACACGTATATATATATATATATATATGTATATACATTTATACGCTGTGTGTTTAGTACAGTGTTTTTGTATATGTAAAAATATATTTGTTTTTTTTCAAAATCGGTTCCGCGCACCGGATATTGTTGTTCGTAAACGTCGTGCGCTCGATGTTTTCGTTCGCAGAAACGATACGTAAAATATAGATATAATATTTTGATATTATTCGTACCGCACGTGTTTATATTATAATACGTATCGTGTTTTGTTTTCGAAATTATGGCCGCTGTGATATATTCGAAGAAAGATTGCTAACGGCCTCCTCCTGGGTAACAAAGGTGCGCCCATTATGCCAGGGGGCCGACGAGGTCTGGTCGCCCCTCAAAACACGTTCTTGGAAAATATCATCCGAAGGTCGAGCTCACAACGTAAGTACTGACATTTTACAAATAACGATGTACAATAATAATTTAGTAGTGTGTTTTATCGGAATGCATACGCATAAATACAACAACCGTAGTGCGTTACCTACATAATGCTTAACAGTAATGAAATAAAAACTAAAGGCCTTGTCAAACGGAACGCGTTATTTACGTCACGTTTGTATCGTCGCGTTCTTAACGTTATCGCAGATGTTACACACGTCACACAGAAACAAAAAAGCGTTGCATTGTAGAAACTGGTACTTAGTTGATATAGTAGTATTTTTCGTACGTTTGCGATATGTGGTTTATATTGAAAATATGTCCGCTAGTTCAGACGAAGAAGAACTTTTACTTTTATACGCATTAACCGAAAGTCAACAAAATATGAAGCGAATTTTTTTATTATTAAAATTTATTTATACTCGTATTTATGTAGGTCCTTCCTTCTTTCACCATTATCTAAACGCCAAGAATAACGCACTACCACTTGAGATTTTGTGATTTTTTATTTTTTACAACGTCGCGTTTTAGCACCACGTTAATCACGCCGACAACCAGTGGCGCACAGTAGATTTTGACAAGGGTATCGAATTTATATATTTCGAGGTACCTACCCACCCCCACCAGTAAAATCTAAGTTTAGGCATAGTATAACTCTTAAATTAAGGTGTTTTTGGTTTTTCTTTCTAACAAAGATACTAAAAATAAAATTTTTTAAAATAAACCTAATATTAATTATTTTTTGGATAGTTGAAAAATTGATTAGTATTAAATTAAATATTAAATATTATTAAATATTCATACAAGATCACGCAAAACTAGTCATCCACCAATTCTCTGAGGTATGTTAGTCAACACCCCTGACCCCCCTGTGTGCGCCACTGCCGACAACATATATTTGACATCCAATATGATTTGAAATTAAATACAACGTGACAGTAATTCACGCCATGTATAAAGCTTTTACGCGCGTTAATAACGAGTTCTGTTTAACAGAGCCTTAATAAATTTGATCTTTTTTGTATTAAGTCGGTCAGCGTATTATCGTATAATTATAATTTTTATTTTGTATTTTACTCCTTTTTTACATTATGAGATTAAATACAAGTTGTGCGGACATATTGTCATAGAATACCATATATTACTATATTATGTGCGAATACTGTCTTGGAAAATTATTAAGTCCGAGAGATTTCATAATATTTCTTACTTAAATCGAATTCTTAACTATAATATAGTTATATTTAATCGTTTACATTCATAACAAAGTAAATTACTAAAAACATCTAATAATATAACTATTTAAAATGTTATCTTCATAGTTCACTTGATGTGATCAGAAATAATAATATTAGTTTAATTTCAATTTTATTACATATAATAATAATCATAAAAATATATGTATAAGGTTTTCGTTAAAACAACATTAAGATATTGATGAAGTCAATTTTTATATGATCAATTTTTTTTTTTTAATACTGCTATAACGCGTTCCTTTTTAAGAAAAAAAAACTTATAAATACTTATTCAATACTTGGCATTACCTTCATTTATATTATTTACGGCAAATTTATGCGATAGTATATTAAAAATAATAAACATATTCGTTCGATGAATACCTTTAAACTTCTTTGGAAAACAATTAAAACAAACAAGCTGATGACGTTAAAATTTTATTTTGAATACTTACAATGTTTTATACAAACATTTTTATTTGGCTGTGTAGGGTAATACATTATAATTAATAACATCAATCGAATTTTTATAAAATGTAAATCACATGAAAATATTGTTTTAAGGCCATGACTTTATGTGATTTTTACATAAAGTGGATGTAATATAATTTCGGTGTTGAAGCTATATCGCAGGAATATACTCTAAATTTTAAATAAGGAACATTAATATATTTTCAGCGATTAGTAAAAAGGCATTGTATATTTAAATATTATAAAATATAACTTTTTTTTTTTTTTAATTTAATCTATACCCAGTGCCGTCGAAAACATTAATTTTTTTTTCTCAAACTTTACTTCACTTTCGTAAAAACTAAAATAACTAAAACGATATACAACATTTAAGAATAATTTAAAGGTTGAGAATGCACTTAGCACATAACATTTTTATATAAATATAATATCGTGCAATAAGCCCACCGGTTTCAATATTTTCAAAATCACTTTTACCGTGATAACAGTTGCCTTCTCAACAATAACGGTGACAAACTCGCAGAAATTAGCGATTTTCATGCGGTAGGTCGAGTGCAAGGCTAGTGTAATGGAAATACCTTGCCTGCAAACGAGATGCCAGTAATAATAACAGAGTCTCATCGTAGACTACCATATATTTGATAGTTACAAGTATTCGAAGGTCAAATTGTATTCGTAGTTACACATTTTTAAAACGAACAAAATGATGGGCATCGACATTTCGCGGGATTGTACTGTCGTTGCGATTGCGTTTTGGGAAACTGCGCGTATACAATGTATATCCAACACTTGTTTGAACAAATATATAATAAAATGGTTTTTATTCGAGTTTTCTGATTTTAAAAAAAAAAAAAAATATATATATTTTCATTAAGCCATATAAATATCGGTATGTATTATTACATGTGAGCGAGAGAAAAACGGGGAAGGAGCAGTGCAGTGTGATCCCATAACACTTTTTGCGCACTGATTCGATAAGATAATAAATATATATAACATATTTCGCGTAAAAGATATGTTATATTGTTATTATTATTATTGGTTTAATTTATTATTATATCGTAATAGTAAATTGTCGGTCATTGTCGAGCGCGTGATAAGGAAAAAAATATATAGAAAATCATTCAGGAGTATTTGTGTTGCATGGTTGTAGGAGGGGGAGAAAGAAAGAAAGAAAGAGAGAGAGAGAGAGAGATACGATTTATGATAAAACACGACTGTTCCGTACGATATTTACTTGTAGTATGACGTAGTCCGAATCCGCGGTTTCGTCGGGAGAGCCTACCACCGTCATAAAGGGCACGCGTGTACGACGGGGATGATGCGGGCGTGGGAAATTACGAAGCCGCATCGTTTATTCCGAATTATCCAGGTACGCGTGCAGTTTATCTTATTAGCCGGGGGATACGTGCCGGAGGCCACAGGGTGGAGGTGAAAATAAATTGAAGGATTCCAAGTGAGTTTAATATTTGACAGTTAAGCCTAGAGCTACACGCACCGATATTCCACTGGAACATTTTTTTTTTCGCCGTTTTCATCACAACTACTCTTTCTTACCGCAGTACCTATGGATATATTTATCCGTATCCTCGATTCTTCTTCTCCTGCCTCATATTTTCGTTCCCTGTCGCTTTATGTGTATTATCCAATCCCGCAGAAACCATGGTTTTTTTTTCCGTTGATTATGGTATTAGAACAGTGGTGGTCACAACGAGGCTTGCGAGCCACATGCGGCTCTTTTCGTTTCGTATGGCTCTTGAACCAAATTTAGACTAAAATTAATAAAAATAAAATTTTGTTAGAATCGTTAGAAACATTATTTAGTGTTTTTACTGCCGTCGGTTTCGTTATTGTTATGGTCGTTATTAGGTATAGATTGGCACGGAGGCGGTGCTGTTATTATGTGTAGCTTTATAAATTTGCAGCTCCCATAGTTAAGGTTAGTGGCCACTCCTTGTACTAGAAGAATGTACAATTTTAAATTTTTCTTCAGCAGTGGCCATGGCGGTGCATTCCGCCATATAATTGTCCGTTCACATGCAGTTCTCAACAAATTGGAAGTTTGTGAAATCCGATTTGTTATCGATCACCATCGGTTTTTGATTACCCAACCCGCTCTAATACCGGTAATATAATTACCGTTGCAATACAGATTTCGCACGACCACCAAGAAATATTATTTCCATGCCATCTGTTTTACGTGCTGTGACCTGTAGGCACCGTTTCTATACGGATATCCGTGGCGATAACTGTGATAGTGAATGGGGTAGTTATAATGAAGTATTCATAGTACTATGAAGTATATTACCACTACTGCTGGGGGATCGACTAAATTATTTTTTTTTTTATGACATTAAAAAAATAAATATATTATTTTTTGTTGTGAATATACTTGGTTAATTTATTAATTAAAAAATTGATTGAATTAAATTTAAAGTCTTCAGCTGCATACACTAACAATTTGGACCCATAATTAATGTATATAATATTCATAATTTTATTGTTATGAGCATTATACAATATTTATATATATATATATATATATATATATCATGTTTGATTTTAAGACACTAAATATAAAATATATTATTATATTATTATTATTTATATGCATTATTATATAAATGTATTAATATAATTTTCTCAACTCATTGACTTACAACAAATATTCTATATATAATACAAAATGTATATTTATAAATATATGTCTAAATGTGTGTGTGTTTATAAAACACTTTATTTCACTATTATATAAATGCAAAGCATACTTAGTAATTCTGTTTTATTTTTTAAACCTCAACTTATACAAAAATTATTATAAAATATATAGTAACTGAAGGGTATTTATTTTATATTTGATTGTACTGTCATTGTGGCATAGGTTTTAATACGTTTATATAAATCTGTCAGTATCTATAAATGTGCACACACACACACACACACACATATACACATATACAGGTGTATTGTTAAAATGTTAGTATACTCTGAAATAACAAATTTTTTTGTGACTAAACATAATACAGTTTTAGGCTTGCATGAATTGTAGTACCTAATTTGTTTTCTGTTTATACACATTTGAAGTGAAATATTATACATTATACGAAAGCTTTTTTTCTTTTTTAATATACTTTAACGAAATATTTAATACTATAGGAATAAGGAAAAAAAATAAATATACATGATTCAGTATATTTTAGACCTGCAAACATTATATTAATATTTTTTTAAATCTAAATAAGTGTCATTTAATTTGTTTAAAATAATATCAGGCATATAGTGCAGATATTTTATGTA